GTGTTTCAAGAAGATGGTTAAAAGCTGACTTTTTGACTTTTTAAGTTTTTTTATTGTTTTATGTAAAAGGTAATGTGATCCAAAATGAATCAAAAACTAACTTTTGGCTTTTAATCCATGTTCCCAAAATAGGCTTGGGGTTCATTTGGCATTGGCTTTTTTAGCCAACTTTTTTGTGTTGGGAATTTTTTAGCCTCGTTTGGTTTTTGTTTTGAGGCTTTTTTAACTTTTTGTGAGAGAAAATGTGCAATGATTATGGCTAAAAAGTAGTATTTTGTCTTATTGACTTATATAGCCTATTTTGTCTTTTTGTGATTATTTAGCTCCAACATGTTAGCCAAACCATGGCTTCCTAATAACATATAAGTGGTAAGCTTCTTTACTACGCCATCGGATTAAAGAGTTTTGAAAAAACAGACAAACAAACAAACAAACAACAACAAAAAAATGGAGTGTTTTGGAAATATGGTTAAAAATTACCTTTTTAACTTTTTAAACTTTTTTTACTATTTTATGTGAGAGTTGATGTGACTCAAAATAAGTTAAAAGCTAACTTTTAACTTTTGATCATGTTTCTAAAATGGGCCAACATCAACAATAGTGTAAAGCCCACATCCCCTAATCCCATGTTTAGTTGGCCACTAAAAGGGTATTAGATGCCCGGTTGGATATCTAGTTCCCAAAATTAAGGATATATAATACAACCCCCTTTGGATATTTGCTTCCTTCCCTTCATCCGAAGGCCAAAAAATAATCTTCAAATCTTATCCCATTCTTTATCTAAGTATAACCAAACATATGGGATGTTTGCCAAGAAAAATTTTAGCTATTTTTAGGATAAAATTCATAAAAAGATAAAATAAGCTAAAATAGCTAGTAAGATAAAATGTCACATCAAATCCATAATTATTTTACTTTTTCTCTTGTAAACATCATATCCAACTACAAAAAAAAAATCAATCATCTTCTTAAACATCAAAATTTTAGGCTACTAAAATAGCATATTAAAATAGTAACTTCTTAAACACCCACATAACACTCAATATTATCATGATCTATATAAAATCATTTATTGTCTGTTTGGTAACGTTTACGTTTTCAGTATATATTTACAAAAATTTTAAAAACTGATTTTTGTTTATTTTTAAAAAAACATAAACTACAAATGCGTTTGGTTTAGACAAAATGTTTAAAAAAAAAATTAAAATATAAAAAAGAGTGAGAAATGGCAAGTGGTGGCAGGTGGTGGCGGCGGAAGACGGTGGTGGAAAATGGTGGCAGGTGGGGGGTGATGGTGGCAGAAGACGATGGTGGAAAGTGGTGGCAAGTGGCGGGGGCGGAAGACAGTGGTGGGAAATGGTAGCGAGTGGGTGGTGGTGGTAGTGGTGGTGGCAGGTGGGTGGGTGGCGGATGACAGGTGATAATGGGTGGTGGTAGTCGGGTGGATGACGGTGGCGGCTAGTGGGTGGTAGCGAGTGGGTAGTGGTGGTGGCGGGAGTGGTGGGGGAAGCTAGCATTTTGCAAAGGGGAGGGTCGCCTGAATGGAGGGAAGGGGGTGAGGACTGGTGGGAAGGAGTTGGGTGGTTGCATTGGGGGAAGAGGATGGGACTGCCTAGAGATCGGGGAGTGATGGGCAGGCAGGGAAGGGGGCTGTTGAAGATGTGGGTGGCGGGGGAGGGAGATGTCCGAGGTGGGTGGCAAGGGTGGGGTCCTAAAGGGTATAGTTGGGATTATCGTGGGGGTTCAAAGAAAAAAAGGTTGAGAGCAATTTTGGGAAGTTTCCAAAGTAAAATGGTGGGGGCTATTTGCAACGCTCACCAAAAAAAGGTTGGAAGACGGTGGTGGAAAATGGTGACGGGTGGTGGCTAGTGTTAGGTGGTAAAAAAAAAAAAAACTCAAAACGTAAACTCATTTTTTGAGTTTACATTTTTTGGCCAAATTTATAAACTGAGACTACTGATTTATAAATTAAAAATTTACCAAACAAGTTTTTATTTGAATTTTTAAAATTTTATGAATATAAACTGAAAACTGAAAACGTAAGTGTTACCAAACGGTACCTTAATATCTCTTCAAACACATAAATATATAAACTTGAATCTTCTCATTTCGAAAAATTATTAGATTATCCTAGAGAACCGTATAGTATAGTATTGCATATGCTTTGAATCCAACATAATATGTTGTGGTTGCATATGCTTTGAATCCAACATAATATGTTGTGGAACTAATAAATAATTTCCTACATTATTCCTTATCACATAATCCCCTAATTGCATTATAATAATAAACAAACAAATGTGGCCTAACTGTACTCCAAAATCGCTGGGATTTGGTCTATAGAAATTGACAGTTGGAGAATCAGAGCACAAAACATGCATCACCACAAAATATACATATCAGCAAACCAACTAATAATTGTAATATGTATAAGGCCTAGAAGGTGCCCAGGATTTGAGCTAGAAGAAAAAATTACACCCACAATCAGAAACAGAATACATGGAAATATTCAGCGAATTGAAACATGAAGTACATGTTTCAACCACACCTTTCTTCTTCTTCTTTGCCAATATTTTATGTAATAAAAAGCTCAGAGTCATCAGAGTACTCATCTGCTGTAAAATATACTAGTAACTGATTTGAATTAAACAGATCTCTTCTCACATATGAATCAAACTTGGCCCTTTATTAAGGTCTAGCAAGGGTGCCATTGCTCCTTGTGCACAGAAGATTTGCTGGCATATTCTAAGGGCTGCTGACCTATTTCACTGACTTCACTCTCTCTATCTCTCTGTTGCTTTCATTTTCTATCCCAATAATGGAAGATTTAAAAAATAAAGGAGATCCAATACACGAATTTCCGTTAATTAAAATGGGATATAAAGAGGATAGGATATACTCAATTTTACCCTCATTTCTAGAGATGTTTCCGTTTTGGGTAGTTGTTCAATCATCTCAAAATATTATGTTGTTTATTGTCCACATGAAGTTTCCAATAAAAAAAAAAGGTAGCAAAAAACGTTTACGTAGTGATGATGCTTACCCATATTTATTAGGTACTATTTGACTAATTATTTAGTAATACCAGAATATTATGTGATTCCACTTGGTGTTTTAAACTAATAATGTAACAAAAAACTTTATGAGTAGGGGCAGCACTAACTCACCTTTGTTTGGTGATTGAGAGATAAAAATTAACGCATCTAATATATTTTGTAATTTCTCATTTGTCAAGAGTACCACGTAAACAATATCACATAATACTCTCAAACTACCTAATAATTTTCCACAAGTAAGAGGCAAGGAGAATAATTCACTTATACTGTGTTTGATTGGGAGATTTGAAGAGGGATTTAGAAAGGAAAATGAAAAAAGTAGGTAAAATGTAAATAAAATATATTTAAATTTCACATTGTTTCACATAACTTTTCCCTTTTCCTTTCTCTTTCCTTTCCCTTTCCAAATCCCTTACTAAATCCTCTAATCAAACACAACATTAATGCATTTTGCAGTTTCTTATTGGTCGGAAACATCACGTAGAAACACTAACATTACTAGAAAAAGGGACATTTGACACGGAACAATTTGCGACGGTTTAAGTGCCGTCACGACATTTATTGTTTTTGCAACGGAAAAAGTTAGCCCGTGGCAAAAAGTAAGGTTATATGTGACGGTAAGTTAAACGTGGCAAAATTTTTCTGGTTTTAAATTTTTTTTCCTTTTTTGCGACGCTCTTTTGGCAATCCGTTGCAAAATTTTATTTTTTCTCTGTCATTCGCGACAGGCCTTAATATCGTCGCAAATAGTAATTCCTAAATTCGCGCCAAAACCCCTTCCCACTCTCCCTCTTTCCCGATACTCCCAAATTCTCTGTTATCTCTTGAGATCAAAAAAAAAAAACCCTAATCTCACTGCTCTCTCCCTCCCTCTCACCCAGTCGTCACTCTATCTCTCTGGCGGGGGCTGCAACGACGAGAGGAGGCGGTTGTGAAATCTGGATGCCTGCGACGAGGTTTGATAAATTAGCCTCTAACCTTCTCTTTCCCCCTCTCTCCCTCCCTCCCTCCCTCCTATATCCTTTGGATCCCACGTTTCTGAACCTGCGCTCCTCTTCGCGAACACCTTCTGCTTCATTCTCTGGATTTCTGAGGTACTTTCACATCTGGATTTCTCTTAATTTTGTTTGGTTTACTTTCAGTCTTTTAAATTGAAAGTAAAGAGAGGGTTTGAAGGGGAAGGGTTTCAAACGGCGATCTCTCTTCAACGGCGAGACTAGTTCGATGGTACAACAAGACTGGTTCGGTGGTGGCAACGATCGACGGTACACACTCATCTCATCTATTCTCTTCTCTTCGATCTGAAATCAAAAGTTTTCATGGGTGCCTTTCTATGTTGCTCGAAGTTGTTCTGGGTGCCTTTTGAATGGAATGTTCATCTCTGAGGGGATGGTTCTGTCATTTGGTGGTTGAGAGTAATCACTGAGCTAGTCTTGTCAAAGATCTGTATGATACGTTGAATAGGAGCTTATGTGCTGGATGTGGCATTGACATTTGGAATTCCAGGTTGTCTTAGAGAACAGTAAGTCATATTATCCATGTTCAAGTGTTTGATTGGGCTTGACAGACTTGTCTGTAGTATTAATCGTTAGTAATTCTCAACATAGTTTGTGTGAGATGAAAAAAAGAGAGTAAAAAATAAAAATAAAATCAAAGAAAATACTCAAATTATTTATGTAGGGGTGAAACTGACAGGCATATGTTTTTGTTTTTGATATTTTTATGTGGTCTAAAATCGGGTAGGTAGGGGTGCTATTTAACTCACCATAAAATCTAGCTTAATGGGTATGTTCTACAATTTCATGCAGGGTTCACTTGGGACTTGTATAAACTACCATAGACTATTCATCCATAAAAATGTCAAAACAGTTTGCTAATTGTTCTCCACAAAAGGCTTTAATTTTATTTATTTTTATTATTATTGAATTGGGTTGAATTGGGTTGCTTTTGTTTTTGTTTTTTTTTTTCTTTTTTTGGTTGTTGGTAGAATTGTGATGATTTTGAGTTTTCTGGGTTATTTATTTGTGTGAATTGCTGGTTGTTCAAGTTCTTTGTCAAATGCACAGTTTTGTTTTTTTTGGGATTAATGGGTGAAACACACTGTACTTATGAGAACCATTAATGTGAGTGGAGTGTGTAGCTGAAATGTCGTTGAGGTTCTATTCTGTCAAATTGATAGGTTATATAATTTATCAATGTAAAAGGGGAAATGAAATATTTGAAGTTAATATGATGGAGTTTTTGCAGTTTCATATTTACTAGTTCAAGTAGCTGCAAATATTTTTTAATATCTCATATTTTTATTTGTTTCCCTTTCTCATTTTTTAGTTTAAAGTTAGTTGTCCTTTTTGTTTTGTGGCTAGCACATTGTTTCTCTTCATCTCCATTGACTTCATGGTGTCTGATAAATCTGTGTGTGTACATGGCTAGGACCATGTTTTGAACTATTTTATTTTCTTAAATTCTAGAGCTCTGTTTTTGTCAAGAAGGAATTCAATGACAGCCATGACTACTTAATCATTGTTTCTCAAACTAACTTAACAAAAAGGGTCTTACAAATGCTTTTTTCCATAGTCCTGATTTAGGTAGGTAGTTTTTATTTTTATTGGGGTTAGGAAATTAGCTCAAAGGTTGAACTTTTAGCTTTGGATTTGTTAGGAAATCACATTATCATGCTGTTTTTCAAGCAAGACAGTTTTTCCTGTCTATTAATGGGAACAAGGCCCCTGGACCCAATGGCTACCCGGCTAGTTTCTTTAAGAGTTCCTGGGAGGTTGTGGGTAAGGATATTGTTGAGGCTATTAAATTTTTTTTTACTTCTGGTGAACTTCTTAAGGAGTTTAATAGCACCTTGATTGGTTCTAGTATACCTAAAGCTGGGCAGTGGTTGGTTCTAGTATACCTACTGCTGCTACTGTTTTATTGGACTCTATGCACCTTCAGCTGAGCCTATTATTAAGGTGTGTTGGAACTCCATACCTCTAGAGTCATTTCTTTTTTCTTTTTTTTTTTCCTATAGTAAGCTTGATTTGCTCCATGATAGTCCTGCATTTTGTAATTTTTTCAAGTGTTACTTTTATGTTGGATAGGACAAGAACTTCAATAATATGCCAAAGTGTGAGCATTCTGTGAAAGCTGCACGAACCGAAACAACTAAGCAGTTAAGGCTCTGATTATTCACATTTTCATTTTCTCCGCATGTATTGGTTAGACAATGTTGCCAGTGAGCTTCATATAGAATTCTTAATTTGTTTCCTGTAGTGGGTGTGATCTTGTTTTCTTGTTATCGTGCTTTGCATTACAATATGCTAGCCCTGTAGTACTCTCTCTTCCTTTCTTTGATTTGTCAATTTTTATTTGCACAGTAGAGAATAAATCTTTTTCATTCTGCATCTTTCAACCATTAATCACTAATGCCAGCTATTTGGAATTATGATGCAGCTGGTGCATAAAAGCATAGAACTTCATGATTGATCATTCTGGTTTTCTCTGTGACATAAAACAATGGGTCTTAAGATTTTTATATTCAATTTTTTACCCGTCCTGGAGTGTATATTCTCTTGTTACTTCTATCATTTGCTATCTATGTTTGATTTGCACACATCAAGGCATTTTTATTTCTTTATGGTCATTCCATATTCACAAACCCTCGGAGTTTGAATGGCATTGATTAGTTGAAGGATGATGGTTGACTTCTGTATGTGGTCACCTGGGTGACAGTTGGGGAACTTAGTTCCACTGCTTGGGTTAACCTGGGCAATTTGTCGAACATGATGAGAACATGTGTTTTCTTTTTTATGAAAAATTTCCATATTGAGACGCTCCAATTCATTTTGCTTTTTGTTTCCGTAGGCTAAAAAAATGTCGATGACTAGAAAAAGAAAACTGTTGAGGTTCGATCTTCTGCTTGGGAAATTTCAGAGGCAGCGAAAGCATTTCTGAGTAAATTATAACAATAATTATTTTGTTCTAATCCAACTCCTTTTTTTTTTTCTAGTCCAGTTGATGGGCTTTGAAGAACATTAGGGGTTTGAAGAACATTAGAAATTCACTTGGTTGAGTTTATTTTTTAGTTTATTGTTGACAGAATTCACTCGGACTTGAGTTGGTTACTTGTTCAATGTAGTCAGATTTTTGGAAGGAATATCATAAATTGTGACCTGCCAAATTGTCAATCCACTCTTTGAAGATTTCAAAACTTAACTGAATTCATTTATGAAATCTTTGTTTATTTGAGTGGGACTCTTTATTTTTAGTATTCCGATTTTACATTACTAGTGTTTTGATTAAACCAAGCTAGTTTTTAATCTAGCTTGTTCAGAACACCTCTTATTCCAATATTTATTGTTCTTGATTGCACTTGTCAAGTGTGTTTTGGTATGTTAACTATGGTGAAATGTTTTTGCAGCTATTTAATATCAGCGAGGAAGTAGTAATTGATGCTACAAATAAAGGAAATGTAGGACGATTGATCAACTATTCTATAAGTTTCTATTTTAGAAATTAATACAGAATTTTGTTTATTTATTGGCTAACAAGCTTCTAATGACATGAGTGTTTTTTCCTGATAAATTCTTTTTTTATTGGCAACAGGGTTAGCTGCTCCAGCTGTAAGCTTGAAATTAATTATATTGTAAATGATTTTTTTTTTTTGGTTTTTTTTTTTTGCAGGTACAACCCTTTTGAGAACGTGATGATATCTTCGCATATCGATATTAGAGTTTACAATCTTATTTATTTATTTATTTTTTGAAAAAAATATCAAATATTTTACATTTTCTGTAAGTTTGAAAATAATTATGTTGTAAATGATGATTTTTTTTTTCTTTTTTGTTTCTTTTTGCAGATGCAAACCTTTTGAGTACGTGATATCTTCGCATATCGATATGGGAGCTTACTATTGATATCAAAACAAGCTACATTATATCTGTTTTTATTTTTTTATTTCTATTGTCGATACTAAAAATTTGAGTTCTTGAATTTAAAAAATTATTAGTATTGTTAGAGGTTATTTTATATATTTTTGTAAATAATATTTGATTGACAATTGTTACAAGGTATATATATATTCTTGGTATATGATTTTTTGAATGTGAATTTGGATGTGGATGTATTTTTAAAAATATTAATAATTTGTATAGAAAATATTTAATAAAATATGATTTTATAAAAAATAATTTCATTGTGACAATAATAAACCGTCGCTAATGTAATTCTCATTTCCTTATATTTTATTAGCAACGGGCTAACTTGTCGCATATACATATTAGTTCCAATCTTTTGCGACGGCTTCAACTGTCGCAAATAAATCTTTTGTGTCGGTTTGAACGGTTGCCAATACGGTATTAACTTAATATTACTTTTTTGGCGACGTTTTAAACCGTCGCTAATAATACTTTTTGCGACGGAAAATATCGTCGCTAAAAATGTCATTTTTTTTTCCTTTTTTTGTGTCAGGCGAAACCGTCGCAAAAACTATTAATTAGCCGTCGCTACAAGAATGCGACGGTTTGTAACCGTCGCAAATATTTTTTGTCACGTCCCTTTCTATCACCTCTCATTTTCCGTCGCAGTTCCGTCGCAAAAAGTCCGATTTTTAGTAGTGTAACCAGAAGTCTTACGGATACGCCAATTCACCTTTATCCCGACAGTGAATACTAGTGGATAAAAATGGAAACAAATTCAACCTATTTAGGACCCCTTAGAGCATCTCCAACGGTAGTAGGCATTTTACCTATCTAAAGTATATATTTTATTTTGTCTATCAACTGTTTTATGTTTTTACTCCAACCATGCTCTTTATTTTAGCTATTTATCCAAATACTATTAATTTTATAGAATGCCACGTCAATAACAAAGATGGAGGGAAATGATCCTAATGATTGAACACATTTTACCTAGCGTTGAAGGCTAGCTACATGTAGCTAGTGAATATGAGTTGAGCCAAAATGCCTAATCATATGTCTAGTGCATTGGAATTGAAAAAAATAAATCACACTAGACATTTTAACTAACAAGTATTATATGCCTAGTGGGCATGGCAATTTATGGGAACATGGACCAGAGCAGAAGGAAACAGAAACAACTTTAATCAGATGTGGAAGTGTTGGATGGCCAGGGCAATCATCTTTTTGAGAATGGTACCAGAAATAAGATATTGATCCTCTGCCTCTCATACCCACAAACTACATGTTCTAAAATCGTCCACACTTGCCTTTCCACAAATACCCAAACCCTCCAAGAGGTTCAAAGAAAAGACAATGAAAGTTGGGGCAAAAGTTGATCAAGCCCAAACTACTACTTATCACTCGCAAACTACGTACATCAATTAAACCTGAACTTTGTCACTAGTAAGGTTAACTTTGGCATCTTTAAAATAATTCATCTTTTTATCTTTTTTTCATCACATCACCTCTTTACTTTTCTGCACATCTTTTCATAAAAAGACAAAAAGTGCACTTATTTAGGTTATCCCAAATAACCCCTAAGAATCAGACTCTAGAATGTTTGCGTTTACGGACTAATGTTTCCAGTGACTTCCTACTGCTGGCAAAGAGAACAATTATATTGCAACAATGAACGATTATAACGTGTCAAAAGGAGAAAAGCCGGTCGCCAAAGAACAATGGTGACATGGTATTGAATAAACAACTGCGGATCTTTACGTTATATTTGATTGAGAAATTTGAGAAAAGATTAGTTGAAAGATTTTAGAAGAAATTTGAAAAGAGAAAAGAAAAAAATGTATAAAATTTGATAAAATATACGTATATTTTATTCATATTTCACTTATTTATTTATTTATTCTTTTTCTTTTTATTTTTCCTTCTTAAATCTTTTAACCAAACACAATATTAAGGGTCCTTTAAGAAGAGTTGCTGTGTCATCTTCCTATTAATACATTCACATCCATGTTAATTTATCAAAAAATATTAAAAGTTTTAATTTGTGAGCTCTAATTTATGGTGAATATCATATAATGTGGGGTTTTAATCTTAAATTTTTTATTTCTTTTTAAAATTTTTATATCACTAAAGTCGGGTGTAGAGCCCAATCCTGCTGCAAACCTCTAATTAGAGGTCATGCCGAACAGCTCTAATGAGCTGTCTGGAGGAAAAAAAAAAAAAAACAATGAAGTAAAAGACAAAAATAGAAGAAAAAAAAGACAAATTAAAGGTGTTTTTTTAAAGGTCCAAATCATTTTCCGTGTAGAGCCTCAGCTCTATACCTCTCTATCATTTGTGAACTGATCCAGCACTACCAGAAAACTGACATCATCACATGCGTCATCCATGACTACAAGGTTCACAATCCGACAAAAGAAAAGACAAACTGAAAAACATCCACCTTTATACCTAAAATAACATAAATTAAAGGTTCTAAGCAAAGAAAAATGTTCTTGTTTGTGCCTTGTGTACCTTTGCTTCCAGGTAAACTTTTTGCATCTTTGTGGGCTCTATTGAGAAGAGCTAAAAAAGAGTCAAAATTCAATTTTTAACTTATTTTTTGATTATATTATTTTTTTATTTTTTTTATATATTTAAAAAAAAATTAAAAAATAACTTTTAACTAACTTTCTATTTACATGGTCAAACATATGACGAGGCTAAGTAGGTTAATACAGAATTAACGTGGCGTCAAAAAACACCATATATAAACATTGTGTGAAGAGGGAAATAATTATAACAACAGCAATGTTAAGTATCATGAAAAATCTTTTATAAAAGTAATCATGAAAGTTTTATAACCCCTTAGATTACACTTAAAATAAAGTACCATACACTAATTAAAGTAATTTAAATATCATAAATCTTTCATGATCATTTTCATAAAAAAAATTTCATGATTCTCCGCTCTTCTCTTATAACAATAATGGAAGGCATATACTATAATCTATGAAGCACTTAGAGTTGTAAGAATTTGGTTTATACATGTCAAGAGCTTTTCGATATTCGTCAAACGCCTACCGATACGTGTTGTACCCACCCACATCTAATCATGTTTTTTTTTTTTTGAAAAAAAAAAAAAACCTACTCAAGGCTCAAATGCGTTTTAGGTCAAACACGCTTCTATTATTTTTTAAATTCTTTTTAGACTATCCGTTTCAAACATAGAAAATGAGATGGACCCAGCGGGAGTGCTGGGGTGTTTTAAGCCTCTTGCA